GGGACGGCCCTGCTGGGGCCCAGAGGAATGGCTGCCAGCGGTTTGGATCGTGACCCAGCAGCTTGAAGAACTAGCTGGCCCCACATGTCAGGTGGGAGATTGCAGGGGTGCCCTTCCCCAGGCTGGGGGCCTGCTCTCCTCTTTGTCTCTGGGGAGCACAAACACCCTCTAACAGATAGAAAACAAAAACAGAGGCCGCAAACATCAGCTCTGCGTGGCTGCGGTCTTTGGGAAGCTAGGAGTGCTGTGGGCAGAGGGGCGGGCAGAGGGGCATGCTCAGACTTGGCCGAAAAGTTCAAAAAGCACTTCCCGGTCTGCCAGCCCCTCAGCCACCGTCTCCACTTGCAGGTGCGGGTTCTCCATCCAGTGGGAAAGGCCTGGGCCAAGCTGAGGTAGGGCCGGGGCCCCTTGGGTCCTCCCCACAGTTCCTGGCATCGTCCTGTCAGGAAGCTCCCTCCACAGCAAAACTTGCCCTGGGCCAGGTCAATCCCTTCCTCTGACCCTGGAGGGGAGGCGTTCATGAGATTGTGGACGGGGTGACATGATTTGGCAAACAGCAGGTTTCCAACCGGGTTCAGGCACTCCGGTCTGTCCTCTCAGGGTGGCACCTGAGAGGGGCTTTGCAGCTGCGAGCTCAGGGCAGGCCGCCCAGGCCCCTGCAAGACCCAAGGTCTAGACACACTTTCACCAGCTCGCACCCTCCTACGCCCCCAGAAGAGAGACCAGTGCCCGGGAGCACCAGACCCCCAAGTGAGGGCCCTTCTGGCCGACCAGCCCCGTCCTCAGGGCACACCATCTGGGGCAGTCGGGGCCCAGTTCCAACCCGGGATGCAGAAGGTGAGACCCCGACCACAGCACGACCGACCCCCAGCAGGTGGTGCCCAGGTCTGCCTGGAAGCGCACCCGCGGGCTCTGCGGGTGTGGAGAACCAGACCCCTTAGCTACTCCAACCCCCTGGTACACGGGGACAGCCGGCGGCACTCTGCCGTGGGCACTGTCCAGAAGGAAAGGCGCTGTTTCCACCTCTGAAAGTCTGGCGCCGCCCTTCCAGCCTGGTGAGGGGCAGCGCCGTGCGGGTCTGAGCCACGCCCTGCTCACTGGGGACTGGGACTCCAGGCCCGGCGGAAGCGCACCTCTCCCAGCAGGTCTCCGCCTAAGCCCGCCCCCTGCCAGGCACCTCCTGGTCCGGCTCCAGCCAGCGGGCGTGCCCCCGCCTGGGCATAAAAGGCGGCGCTCTCCTGCCGGGCACACTCTGGTCCCCGGACGCAGAAAGAGCCACCATGGTGCTGTCTCCTGGTGACAAGTCTAACATCAAGGCCGCCTGGGGCAAGATCGGCGGCCAAGCTCCCCAGTATGGCGCCGAGGCGCTGGAGAGGTGAGGCCCGCGACCCGCTCCCGCCAGCCCGCCCTCCCCACCCCGCCCCCTTGCCCACACCCGAGCGCTCCCGGCCTCTCCCCGCAGGATGTTCCTGAGCTTCCCCACCACCAAGACCTACTTCCCCCACTTCGACATGAGCCACGGCTCCGCGCAGATCCAGGCGCACGGCAAGAAGGTGGCCGACGCCCTGAGCACCGCCGTGGGCCACCTGGACGACCTTCCCACTGCCCTGTCTGCGCTGAGCGACCTGCACGCGCACAAGCTGCGGGTGGACCCTGCCAACTTCAAGGTGAGCCCGCAGAGGCCAGGGGGCCTGGGGCGAGGGGCCGTCCGCGTTCTGCCCTGCACCTAGTCCCCAGCTGGGTGCGGAGCTGGCGCTGGCTGGGCCGGGTCCCTGACCGCCCTTCCCTCCGCTCCCTCCGCAGCTCCTGAGCCACTGCATTCTGGTGACCCTGGCCTGCCACCACCCCGGCGACTTCACCCCGGAGATCCACGCCTCCCTGGACAAGTTCCTGGCCAATGTGAGCACCGTGCTGACCTCCAAGTACCGTTAAGCTGCAGCCTTGGCGCCCCGCCCTGCCCCCTGGGCCTCCCTGCCAGGCCCTCCTCCCCTCTCCACCACTCCTCCTGGTCTTTGAATAAAGTCTG